TCAGCTGATAGATTGTTGGTTGGATGTGGAGAAGGAGGGTTGAGCAGAGTTTTGAATGTTGAAAATAGTTTCTGAGAGTCAGTAGAGCTGAGAATTTTGTCAGTGTAGAAAGCTTTCTTTGCATCAGTGATGCTGGCAGAGAATGAGGACAGTAATTCATGAAATTTCAATTGATCACCAGGATCTTTTGTTTTGCGCCATTTCCGTTCCGCAGCTCTAAGACTGGTGCGTAGAGACCGGAGGGTATCATTTAGCCAAGGGTGCGACTGAGAGGATCTAGCAGGTCTAGTGGCTAAAGGACACAAGTTATTAAGACAAGAGCAGAGTGTGGAGCAGAGTTACTCAGTGGCATCATTCACTTCATAAGCAGAGAATGTGCTGGGAGATGGAAGAGTGGAGGCAACAAGAGAGAAGTGGTTGGGTACCAGATTGCGGAGGTTGCGGCGGAATGAGATCATTGGGGAGGAAGCAGTGGACCTCCCTTGTAGAATCATGCTGAAATGGATGAAGTAATGATCGGAAAGATGCAGCGGTGTGACAGAGATTGTGTCTATGGCACAGTTTCTGGTGAAAATGAGGTCAAGTGCTTTTCCAGCTTTGTGAGTTGGAGGACTTTGTACTAGTCCTTATGTGGGCACAGGAGTGCTGCTGGTGTTGGGGAGCTGCATGTCATTGATGGTATCATGAACTCAACAATGTCCTGCTTAGGGGTTGTATCAACTAGTTGACTAGTCGACTTCACTGCTCTGTAGTGACTTTTTATGACTTTCATCGACTAGTCACTGTCACGTGATAATGACCGACAAGATGCAGTCCTCAGAAAAGACAGCAGATGACGAGCCCCTGTGCGTTGGGAGCCGACGCGCTGTGCCAGAGCGACACCCGCCGTAAAACGGACATTTGACCGAATTGTGACCTTTTCCCTCTTGCAATTTAACATTCCCCTCACCCCATCCTAACTTTAACCAGCTTGCGCATGCAAAGCTTTGATCGTTGGCGCGCTCCAGACATCTGCGTCCTGAGCACGGCCACAGTAACATTATCAAATTAGGTGTCGCCACCTCAAAAACTAATTTAACAAGCGATCGTTCATGTCGGCTCATTTCCTTTTATGTTTTCTGTCTTTTATTTGTGCCTGATGCTTTTCGCTGCTGTGGATCAGGGCGCATCACCTGTTTTGTCCTCGGTGACGGACCTAACTGATGCGGCCGGCGAGCACTCCGCTGTTTTTGCGGTTGGTAGATCTTTTAGAACTGCAGTTCAAAGGTAACTCATGAGGTGAATATATATGAAGCCAGGTAGCAGTTTTTCTTTAGGATTGAGAGGAGATGCAGGAAGATAATAAACAGGCAGGACAGAAAAATAGTCAAATAAAAGCAAGTTAGTTTTTGTACCTGGTCGCTGCAACAAACAGACACCATTGAAAGTGAGGAACAGAAAATGAAATAGTTATTTTAATGTTTAGAGCAGCAGGAACTCTGAGAGGCTGCAGGCGCATCAGTGAGTTTGCGGCCGCTGCGCAGGGGGAGGGGGTGGGGGGGCTGAAGCAGAAACTACCGTTGTTAAAAGAAATGTGTTTAACTTTGAAAATGTGGGTGCAATTTTAATTGTCAAAAACTCCAGCGATCCCCCCCACCCCCGACGTGTATGACGTCATCAACGGCTAGTCGAAGTCGACTCTATTTTCATTACTTGACGGTCGACTTTAAAAAAAAAGTCATGCAGCCCCTAGTCCCGCTCTATACTGAAGGAGAAGATGCTGCCATCACTCCATGCACGTAGTCGTCGTGCACTTTTCCAACATGACGGTGATCCAAAACACACATCTGGAGCTGTTAATGCATTTCTGAAGAACAGGGTGAAGGTGACAAATCAGGTTAACAAATCTTGTTTGCAATCAATGACCCACATTTGCGGCAATATTTTGTAATTTGGTACCTCATAGTAAATGTCGATTCTGAAAGGAAAGGTTTTCTGACAAATGCATTCATTTTTTCGTTCTTCCGGGGACTCATGACCCGACTGGAAAGGGGGGCGTCTACGCAGTGTTGCTTCTTTGCTAGCTTGTTTTTTGCTAGCAGAGTTAGCTTGTTGTTAGTTATCAGCGCTAGTTAGTTGTTAGCTATCAGAGCTAGCTTGTTTGTTATCAGAGCTAGCTCGCTGTGCTGGTGTGTAAGGCTCTACAGCAACAATGTCTTCCTGGAGCATTAGACTGGGAGCTTCGGCTTGGTAGCCTGGCCTGCCAGACTCGTCCTCTGTTTAATTCTGCACAGAGAAAGAGTCTGGTAACTGGTCTGGTAACACATTTCTTAATGTTGCAATGAGCTCTTCATCCGTTAGGGAATGTAGTGCCAGGTAATCCTCACACCTTTCCAGGTACTGTAGGGGATCAGATGTGTCCTCCACTTTTCCGTAAGTTGGGAACTGCAGCTTAACAGGGGTTTTGCCAATGCCTCTGCTCCAGCCCATGGACAAATATGAAACACCAGGAGCAGCGGTCTGGACTCCAGGCCGGACAGTAGATTCCATCCGAGGTCTGGTTGTAAGAGCTACTGCTTCAGGAATGTCATAATAGGCAGTTTGGTCTTTCGGATCCAGTATGGTCTGATGGGTAGGCTGCACAGACTTTACATTTGCAGTCATTTCCTCAGACATCTTCTTTAGGGAGGATTTTTGGTCAAAGAGCTCTCTCCGTAGGCTTGTGATTTCAGCTTGAAGGCGCTGATGACGCATGCAGTCATCAGCACCAGAAGAGCTTGAACTTCCTGCAGCAGCTCAGCATTTTGATGTTTCATCCTCCAGTTAAATGAAGTTTTGACCTGCGTAAGAAAATATTCAAATTGTGCATCTATATGTCCATACAGCTCTTGTGTTTGTTCTTTGCTTAAGTCTCTCATTCTGGTTTCTATATCTTTCATCTGATATTCCATTCTAAGCTTGATTTCCTCCGTTTTTGAGTTCAGGTCGGCCGGCGGGGACTGTGCTCCAGACCGGGTCGGTGAATACTCTTGAAGAGGAAAACAGGGCTGCGCCACCAACGGAGGCATGAGCGAGTCCACTCCTGTCAACTCCATATCCAAGAGCGTGCGTGTTGTGAAATGTTTACCAGATGGAGACAATGCTGCGGGAGAGGATGATACATTCTCCAAGGAATCAAGGGCCTCTTTGTTTTCTCTCATGCTCACTTCTTTCAGGTCAATAGTGGTTTCTTCACTTAATCACGTCCCATATGGGGTGCCATTTTTTATGCAACAGTTTCTCATCTGGGTTGGTTTAGTTAATATTATGGGATGCCAGTCACGTCTCCTTCCTGACTTATAGGATGATGGTGAATGTTTAAGAAATTAGCTTTGAACCCTGTTTCCCTCTGTCACACAAGGACATATACTTAAAATGATTTTGTATACACCCTCAATTTCTATAAAAAGTGTAGGCAACCAGCAGAATAAAGCATATAACACAGTCCATGAAGGGAAATCAGCAGTCTTGTCCTTGATTTTGGTGTAGCTCCATTTTAATTTTCCTTTTTATCTTCTTTTGTCTTCGCCACGGAATAAGGAGTTGACAGGGGTGTGAATGATTCTTCTAGCAGGACACAATTCAGAAACGATTCTCTGGAATGATAGGTGAATCCACGCCATCACAGGAAGACGCTCCACATGCTGACTCTTTCTCCAGCACAATACATCCAAGGGAATCAAAGGAGACGATTGGAGAAAAAACCGGGGAGACGCAGTGCGGCTTTCCTTTTGAAAGGTGAACTTGGGCGTGACGCACAGGTGCTGAGCGTTTGCCGTCAAGGCAGAGAGGAGGCAGGAAATGAGCAAACCTCAAGTTGTCACAACATAACATTATTATATTTCATGTACTATATATTCTGCTTGAATTACATCTGAACAAGCATTCAGCAGCAGCTTTACTGTTTCACAGTTCCTCCCAAGTTACCACAACATAACTCTGTTGTGGCTCTGATCATTTTAATAATACAGATAGGCCACAATAACAAAAACATGCAGGTTTATGCAGCTTTTCGGGACAGTAGAAGTACCAGTAATATTTTTTAGATCTGTTTGTTTTTCATTCATTTTCCACTGAAATCAGCATCTCATTGAAAAAATATCCATGCTTTTTTTGCTATTTTATTCTTAATTCAGAAACAAAATTGTGTTTTTTAACATAACAAACGTCTTCTTGATTTTAGGTGAGAGTAACAAACATCTCTGATCACATCTCTCTAGAAAATTCAGATCATTATTTCTTCACTGTGCTTTAAGAGGCTCAGCATGTAGCAGGTATCTGAAACAACAGCACCTTGTCTGTGTTAGAGCCTCCATTGTGTTTATCACGGACCTGTCTAATTACTGGGAAACCTTCTTTTGACCTCTTCATCAGACTCTGCGCCGAGACATGAAGAATGACTCAGGAACAACAAATACTCAGTCGAGTATCTCTGAACACGTTTAATTTGTGAGTTTACAGCATTTTCTCCGCCGTGCTCACTCACGTGGTTCGGGTACGCGTTAAAGTCCCGCCGCCCGTTTGGTTGACATCAGCGAGCAGCTTTCTCCACAGTTTAGGCACGATTGAAACCGAAACGGGAGACTGTCTAATGCGGGACATGAGTCTCGATTTGAGGGACACATGAAAAGTAATGAAAATGCGGGACGCCTGGTCACCCTAAACCGGGCTGTAAACATGTTCATTCCTGCTGTTGTTGGGATGTTTCAACATAGGAGGCTGTGGGAATTTGCTCTGCGTTAGAGCCAGCGCCTAGTGGAGTAGGAGGGAACTGCAATTTCTGTCTCTTCCCTCTTGGATTCAGGCCTGGGCACCTCAGGTTCCTCCTTGGGCTGAACGATTGAGGATTTTCTTCAAATCCCCAATAAGCAGATTATTAAGAACGTGCAGTACAATTTACAAACATGACAGGACATATCATACCATCTCAACTATAAAAGCTATTAATCTAATAATGCAATGAGGAAAACTGATGGTAAGAATTACTTTCTAATGTATTTATTAACAAAACAATGCATGAGTTTTCCCAGCATTCACCGTTAGAATTTCAGGGTTGGACCTTCCAGACATGCGCTGGTCTCCACTTCACCGGGCCGTTTTCCAGGCCATCATTGGGAACTTTCAGAGTACCTGAACAGGGGTAGGTACTGCAAAAGGCTCAGTGGAGTAGCTAAACCTAACCTTTGGTTAACTCGCGGTAAAATTGTAACTCCGTAAGGAATTACATCAGCAAACACTGTCCAAAATAACCAGCATTAGTGAAATTAGATGAGTTGCTTATGAGGCAAAATGGAAGCACAAGCAAATGAGCATCATTTACACCGCTTTAAAATCACTATTATAACTCCTAACACTGACAAACCCAATAGAAATCCCCCCCAAAACAACGTAATTCACATGGCTTTGTTGTGCCACAGAGCGCCATAAAAAAGGCATTGAAGGCTGCATTTTACATCACACAGCTGCTCTCTGTCCTATACATGCATTAAATTGCTGTATTTCAACAGAATGAAGCTTTTAATGTTACTGTGGACGCTTTTTGGTGCTGATCAGTAACATCACTCACTGCCAAAGCAGTAGCAATATGCGGACGTCTGCATATTCCTGAGAATGGTAAATGGCCTGTATTTGTATAGCGCCTTCTTAAGCTTGGTTTATGCTTGACGCATTTACTTTCCGCTTGGTGATGCGGCTCGCGGATGGAACGCGCTTCACAACTTGCAGCGTTTATGGTTCATGCGGCTTGTCTCTGCGGTGAGCCAATATTCTCCCAAACTGTAGGGGGCAGCATGGAGCTCTACGGCATGCATCCAACACTACACCATAGTAGAAGTAAAAATTAATGTTGTTTACAACATGGCATTCCAGCATTTTTTTAACAGCGTCCTCATCTTTTCCGACAGTGCGAGCTATTTCTCTCCAAGAATTATTAACAACATGTTGATCACGGTGATTTTTGAGAGCTGAATCATACAAATGTCTGTATTTATGAACCTCTGCCATACTAGTTCTTGCCAGTCCGCCATGTTTTTCAGCGTCTGACCGTCCGCATGGTTAGAAAATTTCCTAGGTGCGCGTTGCGGAAAGTTGGGGCCGTGCGGCGGCGCGGTGGAGGGGCGTGGTTGTTAAAATGACTTAAGTTTGCCGCGCGGAGCTGTGCAAACCTCGCGGACGCGTCAAGCATAAACCAAGATTTACCCCAGTTTCACACTGCAAGCATCAGTGGAACAGAACGGCAGTGAAGCGGCACCGCTTCAAATAGAATCCAATTATAGTTTAAAGAGTGTTTCAAACCAGCCGCGACGCGGCAATTTTCAGGCGCTTCCCAGAAGCGGCATGCCGCGCCGCACCGCTACAGATGGGATCGAGTTCTATTTTTTCCGCGAGCCGCTTCTGGGACACGTCAATTTCCGCAGTTCACATAGTGAACTAGTAAAATCCCTGGTTATTTTCAAAATAAAATGCAACTTTGCTATGTTACATATAACTTACGTCAGCACGTGTGACAGAATGGCTTTGTTTACCACCAGTTTCTTGTGAGAAGTGCAACGGTGTGATTCTCAGCAAGTTATAGAAACATGATCTCCTCTTTGTTTCCTCTTGGATGGCAAATCGCGGGGATTGTGATCTCTCGACGAGGATGGATGGCGGAAATCTCGAGGGAATTCGTTGTCTGGCGAGGAAGGTGTCGGAAGTCTCGAGAGATTTTAGAATCTCATGAGTACAGTGAGACGGGGGTTAGGGTTAGGTTATGGTGCCGGCTCTGTTAGCGAGGAAGCCGTGCCGTAGCCAAGACTCTTCCGGTGTGAAAAGGACCGCTTTGAAGTTCGCGGGTGAGCCGTTCCGCTGCCGTCCCGTTCCACTGATGCTTGCAGTGTGAAACTGGGGTTAGGGTATGGGGTTAGACCTGTGCCAAAACCGCACGGGTCCACATCGCGCGTGTGAATGGGACTCGCGAGTGAAAATATACACAGCGAGAGGTCATTTGTGCACTGAGAGGGAGCAAACTGTGTCTGTGAGCGCACGAGGATGTGCACAAGTGACAAGCCTGCGTGCGCGCGTTGCCAACGAGCACATGGCAGAGGAAAACGTGCACGCGCGGCAGCCTCTTTGCGCGCTCGGTTTCTGACTCCGCTCGCTCGGTTGTTTAGGGGTTTTGGCATTCTGGAGGCGTGGCCTGTGGCAGATCTTTTCTGTCCTCTGATTGGTTAGTTTTGCCCGCACTTTACCCTCTACCTCACTGGCCCATTGGCTTCCTATCGGACCAAAATTATGGGAGCTATATAAAAAAATCTGATATTCAGTAGTTGTTGTCATAGCTCAGCTAGTAGAGCGGGTGACTCTCCCCCCGGAGGATCCAGGTTCGAGTCCTGGCAAGGAAAATAGAGTAGGTGTTATGCTATTTTTTCCTAATTCCTGTGATATTATTTTACAGTTGTGACCGTTCAACTGTCATTAAACGTCCGAATGTTTGCTGGGCAGTGTTTTAAAAAGCGCACATAAGCTAGATGGTTTTAACCATATAAAATTATATTTTTTGTGATTTTTTTGGCACGGGTCTAACCCCATATTAGGGTTCTACAACCCCACCAAGCACTTCACAACACAATCAGTCATTCACTCATTCACACACCCATTCACGCTCTGGTGGGGATGAGCTATGATGTAGCTACAGCTACAGCGCACTGACAGGCGAGGCTGCCGAGCACAGGCACCACCGGTCCCTCTGACCACCACCAGGAGGCAAGGCAGGTTAAGTGTCTTGCCCAAAGACACAACAGCAGAATTCTCTGGTCGGAGCCGGGATTGAAACGGCAACCTTCCGATTACTGGACAACCCGCTCTACCTCCTGAGCTACTGCTGTCCCAGAAGGTTGAATTTGTATGGTAACAACAGCAATGTCAAATTTCTCATTCCCTGATTACACTGAAGTTCCGACAATGGAAACACACCTAATGTTATACCAAGAATGGATGCTTGGACATTTTCTGGGCCATCTGGTTGTTTATTTTTCTTACAAAAGCAAGCTATACCACCAATATCTGGCCTGTGTATGATGTAGCACCTTTTAGGGTTCCATAACCCCCCAAAGTGCTTCACAACATAAACAGTCATTTGCTCATGCACGAACTCCTGGGTTCTAGAGGAGCAATTTTATCAGAGAACAATAGATCGTCCAACCCAAGTGGGCACCAATGTGTCTGTTTAAAGATGTCTTTTGGCAAAATCTTTGAGCGCTCTCAAGCAGAAGGATTCTGTCCTATGTGAACACTTGTGTGACTGCTTAAAGTTGTTTTCTCTCTAAATCTTTGACCACAAAGCTCACATGCAAAAAGATTCTGGCCTGTGTGGATTCTCATGTGTCTTTTTAAATTTGTTTTAAAACAAATTTTTTTACACAAAACTCACAGGCAAAAATTTTCTGTCCTGTGTGGACACTCATATGACCAATTAAATGTATCTTCTGGCTAAATCTTTGTCCACAAATCTCTCAAGCAAAAGGCTTCTGTCCTGCATGGATAGTCATGTGATTGTTTAAAGTTGTTTTACGGGTAAACTGTTGTCCACAGTGCCCACAAGCAAAAGGCTTCTGCCCTGCATGGATAGTCATGTGATTGTTTAAAGTTGTTTTACGGGTAAACTGTTGTCCACACAGCCCACAGGAAAAAGGCTTCTGTCCTGTGTGGACACTCAGATGATTGTTTAAAGTTTTTTTACGGCTAAACTGTTGTTTACAGTGCCCACAAGCAAAAGGCTTCTGTCCTGTGTGGATATTCATGTGATTGTTTAAAGTTGTTTTACGGGTAAACTGTTGTCCACAGTGCCCACAAGCAAAAGGCTTCTTTCCTGTGTGGATATTCATGTGACTGTCTAAACTTATCTTATAGCTAAATCTTTGACCACAAAGCTCACAAGCAAAAGGCTTCTGTCCTGTGTGGATATTCATGTGACTGTTTAAAGATGTTTTGTGACTAAATCTTTGATCACAAAGTTCACAAGCAAAAGGCTTCTGGCCTGTGTGGACTCTCATGTGTCTGCTTAAATTTGTCTTAAATCTAAATGTTTTTACACAAAGTTCGCAGGCAAAAGGTTTCTGTCCTGTGTGGACAATCACATGTTTGGTTAAATAGGATTTTCTATCAAATGTTTTTCCACAGTCATCACAACTAAATGATTTTAGTTCTTTCTGGACTTTCCTGCTTGAGTCTACATGTTGATTCTCTCTAACACATTTTTTATTAACCAGACCGACTGAAGAACTTGTTGCTGAATGACCTGTCACTCTCACATGTTTCTGGAGAGAGCTCTTGTGAATAAACTGTTTACCACACTCAGGGCAGCTAAAGGCCTTGTTGACAGCCTTAACATCTGACTCAGAAGACTTGCTCGCACTCCAGTCATTATCTCTATTTTCAGTTTCGGGCCCAAAATCTGACTGCTCAGAGTCTAGATTCACATCATCCTCTTCATCATCGCTAACGTCAGTCTCTGAAGAATCAGATGTTTGTTCATGGGGGTTCAGATCTGGGTTCCTGCTAACTTCTGGTCCTCCACCAGTTTCTGCTGTCATCTGGTCAGCTGAGCTGCTGGGTGAAACATCTCTGTCTTCTATCTGCTGCTGATGAAGCTGTGAGACCAGAGGTTTCTCTTCATCATCCTCACTCTTTATAGTAACTACAGTGACTGGGAACCTGGCAGCATCAGTCTCCTCCTTCAGATGGAGCTGCTCTCCCTCCAGACTGGTCCAGAGTTCCTCCTGTTCCTCCTTTATGTGGAGGTGTTCTGGGTCTTGCTGGTCCTCACCAGGAGCTTCTTTAACCAGCACCAGCTGTTGAACATCTGTAGGAAACACAGAAACATGATGTTAATTACTGACCACAATGACTTTCACACATACGAGTTTTTTATTGGTTAGTGCAGAAGTCACCTCTGGCCACTAGGGTGTGCTGTGATCAAACCTCGAGGGAAAAAAGGTGTATTCAGGGACGTGCCTGAAGTCACGTACATGTGACTATCCCTGACTGTACATACTGCTGCCTCTCATTTGGATTGCTGCTGCTCAACCATCATACTGCTGTCTAGCTGTAAGTGTTCACCTGCTTGTTAAGCTAATGTAATGGTCACACTGTCAGTATGCATGCTAAGCTGCGCTGCATTTGTTTACCTATTTTATCACATTGCTTAGCTTTGGTCTTCAGCCCATGCTGCTGCTTCACTCTGCCGTTAGCTTCTGCTTACTCAGCTTTGTATGTCACAGCAGGGCTCCTTCATCCTTGTCAATAAAACCATTTGACATTGAGGAGTGTATTTCCTTATGAAGGAGCCATGGTGGTCGTCAGATGCTCCGTTCCAGCCTGCACGTTCGCCACCGACGACGTGTCCGAGGCTCTCACCGTGGCGCTGCTGGCAAACCGCGGCCTGGCCCATCAGAGCCGGACCGAACCCACTGCGCCCGTTCGGGCCCCGGGCCTGCCTGGCCCTGCGCTGGATCGACCGAGTGGATGTCGGCATGTCCATCGAGGAATGGAACGTCTTTACACGACGCTGGGACCTCTTCCGCGCTGGCTCGGGCATAGGTGATGCCCAGACCCCTTCCAGCTGTTTCAGTGTGCCGATCCGGAACTTGGGGACAGTTTGCTAAAGGCTAACCCGGATGCTGCAACTGGACCGGTTGAGGCTCTGCTGGCTGCCATGCGCCCTCTGGCGGTGATACCGGTTGCCACATGCGTTCTCAGGACTGATCTGCTTCAACTACGCCAGGATCGTGACGAGCCCTTTCGTGCATTTGCCGCCAGGGTGCGTGGCAAGGCAGAAACCTGCGCCCACAACGCTGTGTGCGGATGCGGGCAGTCAGTTGACTATTCTGATCATATTATTCGTGATGTACTGATAAATGGGATTAATGACTCTGACATACGACGGGACATGTTGGGGACTCATGATGTTTTGTGTAAGTCTGTGAATAATATTATAGCACTGGTGGAGAACAGAGAAATGGCTCGCAACACCCTCCCCTCCTCCAGCATGTCAGCTATGCCCTCGTTCAGGCGCAGACAAGCTATGCCACCATCAGGGCCTGCTATCTCTCCGGCCCCACCAGACAGGTCTGCTAGGGCTATATGCCCTGATTGTAAAGTGTCTTTCTGTGTTTTTTCTGAGGGATCTCGGGGTTGGAACACCAAGCCTCATCAAATGTGTGCCGACTGCTTCTGGGCCCGGATTTCACCTCGATAACGATGAATGGACGATGACTACAGGTATGCGCAGAAACAAAAGTTGTCCACTAGATGGGGCTAGTACACGAGTCACATTTTTACGTGACTCAAGGTGGTACAGCTTCTTGAAGGGACATTAACGTTGCCGACCTGCATACATCTTTTCATTTTTTATTATTGATGAGTCAGAAACTTTGATAACGATACATTTTTGATTTATTGCCCAGCACTACCCAGCTCTATCTGTCGTTCCCGCCGGACGACCACATGAATCTCAGACTGTCTCTCTGACGTATCAAGATGGATCAAATCCCACCACCTCCAACTAAACCGCTCTAAAACGGAATTACATGTCATCCCAGCAAAACCACCCATACGGCACAATATCTCCATCCAAAACGATTCCCTGTCTCTGGCTCCTTCAAAGGCAGTTCAGATCTTGGGCGTTGTGATTGATGACCAGCTGACCTTTAAAGATCACGTCGCTCCTTCATGCCGCTTCACGCTGTACAACATACGAAACATCAGACTGTACCTAACACGATATGCCACCCAGCTGCTGGTGCAATCTACCGTCAACTCCCTCCTCGACTACTGCAACGCCCGTCTAACTGGTCTTCCAGCCTGGACTGTGAGACCTCTTCAAATGGTCCAGAATGCAGCGGTGCATCTGGTCTTCAATCAGCCTAGAAGAGCACATGTCACCCCTGTTCACTGAGCTCCATTGGCTACCGCTAGCTGCTCGCATCAAACTCAAATCACTAGCGCTAGCATACAAAGTTCTGGATGATACGGCTCCCATCTACCCGAATTCTCTTGTAAAGGTTAACGTCCTGACCCGACCGCTCCGGTCATCGGAGGATCGTCGGCTAGCAGTGCTGCACCACGCTCAGGACAATCCAGACTTCATGTGGAAGAACAGGAGCTTCCTTGTAGATTTACAAGAAACTCCTAAAGACCCAGCTCTTCAGAGAGCATCTTCTAAACTAGGACCCTCCCAGCACCTGTCCCCCTCTCTACTGTCCACTCCATGTTCACGTCCCTCTATGACTGATTCTACTGCCTCACTGCCACCTAGGACTGACTGATTGTTGTTAGCCTCAAGGGCAACCTGCCGCTTCATCATCAGCTGTAAGTCCCTTTGGACAAAAGCGTCTGCTACATACATGAACATAAACCAACTGGAGGCTCCTCCTAACGGTAGGTGTGAATTTCAGCCACCAGTGGGTGTGTTGGGTCAGTTCTGCTGGAGGTGGGCCACCGTGGGAAGAGACCACACTCAGAGCAGCTAAAGTTGAGTCTTACCATCTGACTCAGAAGATCTGCTCTCATTCCAGTCTCCATCTCCAGACCCAGGGTCTAACCGCTCAGAGTCTAGATTCACATCATCATCATCCTCTTCATCATCTCCACTAACGCCAGTCTCTGAAGAATCAGATGATTGTTCATGAGGGTTCAGATCTGGGTTCCTGCTAGATCCTGCTCCTCCACCAGTTCCTGCTGTCATCTGGTCAGCTGAGCTGCTGGTTGGAACATCTCTGTCTTCTATCTGCTGCTGATGAAGCTGTGAGACCAAAGGTTTCTCTTCATCATCCTCACTCTTTATAGTAACTACAGTGACTGGAAACCTGGCAGCATCAGTCTCCTCCTTCAGATGGAGCTGCTCTCCCTCCAGACTGGTCCAGAGTTCCTCCTGTTCCTCCTTTATGTGGAGGTGTTCTGGGTCCTGCTGGTCCTCACCAGGAGCTTCTTCTTTAACCAGCACCAGCTGTTGAACATCTGTAGGAAACACAGTTACTGACCACTGACTTTATATTCATACATGTGACAGTTCTGTGTAACTGAGATGAAAAAACCACAACATGGACTTCATTCAGACAAAAACACGTTTCTACTCACTTAGAGAGCAGATAAAAAAGGCCTCGCAGCACAACCAGTGTGAGATTTTTACCGTCGACATATCAGCGTAATACTGCCGCCACGGTGTGTCTTACCAAAGCCACGGCGATGAGAGAATGTAGCGGTTCCACCAAGCTTGGTAGTAATATCCCCACAACGCCGGACCTGGGAATGACTTGGTGTTATGATGACATGAGGTCAGCGATGCTGCAAGTTAGCAACAGTTTTATAAAAGAGGCTGTTATGAATGAGCAGTGGGCGGAGCCAGCTGTCTTCCAGCACAGAGGGAAGCTGCTCATCTAGCACCATGATCGTAAGTACTTTTGGGCTTTCCGCCCAGCCTTCTGATGGTCCGGCTCACACAGAAGGGTGTTGGTGAGCAGACTAATGCAGTCTATCAGACGACTTTTGGAGAGAAAAAAGGACAATTGTTCAGTTTTGGTGGCTGGCAGTGGGCGACAGGACTCTGGGCCAATAGGTGAACCACGTAAACAAACAAGCAACTTAATCCTGTTGTGTGTCTGAGATTGTATATGCATTTGGCAGATGGAGCTAACACTAGCCGCTAGCTTGCTACGTCTCTTAGCGGTCTTTACATGCAACACGTCCACTCGACCAGGAAAGTTAATAATAATCTCCAGGTCAGCATTTAAAACTCTAAAGTACATATTGCTGTATTTGCCTTTTAAAAAGGTACCAGAGCTCCACAAACTTTAATAGAAAGAAACACGTTTTTACTGTGTAAATTCCCCCAGAGTGTCTGGGCTCAGCCCCCAGTGTCCAAGGAACAGGAGACGCCTCTGCACCAAATTAAACACAATAATTCACATCAAACTATTTTCTTACAAAAACACGGTGAGATGCCGGTGGGAAAACCCTGTTCATCCATTCATCCATCCACCAGTACCTGTGTCCATGCTGTCCAACACACACACACACACACACACACACACACACACACACACACACACACACACACACACACACACACACACACACACACACACACACACCAGTACCTGTGTCCATGCTGATGGATGATCCTGAAGTGGTAGCAGGTTTTCTTTAGCCGTGTTTAGCTAACAGCTGCAATAGAAACAAAGCAGGAGAGCTGATTAAGATGCTGCTTCAGAACAACGCAGGAGATTAAAGATCCAACGCTTTGGTTCTGATCAGCTGAGGACAGATCCAGTCTGGAAAAGAGGACCTTTGCTCACCAGAGTTCACGGAGTAGAGCTAACCGCTTTTTCCTCCAGAGTCACATTCAGATTCGGGGCTTTTCCGTCGGAGAGTGTGAGCAGGATGGATGAGAGAGCGAGCAGCGATCCTGCATCATGACCAACTCAGATGAGCGAGTCTGATAGAGGGAACCTCTTCAATCTGATGAAAGCAGCAAAACGAGCGCGTTTCTCAGAGAGGCCAAAGGAACAACAACAACAAGCTAGCTCTGCTAGCAGCTTCTGGTTTCTGCTTTTTCCGGTGGTCGGTGACCAGCGTAAAGGTGCACTAGCGCCACCTGCTGGACTGGATGAACATATATTCTGTTCCACAGACCTGTGTTCAGTATTAAATCAGCGGATTCTTCAGAAGCTCTGACAGAGAGACCAGTAAAAGATTACTTTCTGTTTTCTTTCTTTAAACAAACTGAAAAAGATCTTCAGCAGCAGACAAATGCTTTCTGTACAGAATGTGAGAGAAACTTCTGATGTCGTTGATACTTTTGTCTTTAGTTGAAGCTGCTGTGAGGCAAACAGAACATTTAGTGAAGGTGCTGATGTGGGGATTGTTTCATGTAATGCTTGATGAGTCCACCAGAGGGCGGTGCTCTTGTTTTCTCCACTCAGAGCCCTGATGGGCCAAAATAAAGAATAGTGTTGATGCTAATGATAATATTCCTCATATAATAGACTAAATGTAATAGTATATATAATAAATATACTCAGTATAAATACATCCTACATAAAATGTAGGACTGAAAGTTGGACTTTCAGGTACAGTTCATAGTCCAATCTCCTCTTGAAGACTGCGTTTATGTTGTTTCTATTGTTGATCACAAATCAAAGCTCATCATCATGACATGTGGGGTTCCCCAAGGCTCAATTCTTGGAACACTGCTCTTCCATTTCCACATGCTCCCCCTGGGTCAGGCCATACACAATAACATGGGGATGGAGAAGACAGAGCACACACACACACACACACACACACACACACACACACACACACACACACACACACACACGCACGCACGCACGCACGCACGCACGCACGCACGCACACACACACACACACACACACACACACACACACACACACACCAAGTAATGTGTCTATGGTTACATTGTGATTTCTTAGTAAATATTCTATTTGGTGAGAGATAGACGTTATTGTATTTATCCTAGTGGATCTATTATTAAATGGGTAAACTAGTAGTAGCACATTTAATGCCAAAGAGAGTAAAGTGTTATTATCAGGAGAGGGAGAATGTTTAAGTGGTTAGCAGCAGTGTGCTAGACGATGGCCCCCTCCATGAGGCCACCACAGCTCAGCAGAGCTTCTTCTGGGGAGAAAAACACTTAGAGAAAAAATAAAGTTAACAGCTGAAATAGCAGAAAGTAGTACAGTTATGAGAGAAATTGTATGATGGAGCTTGATTATTAAGAGCTTTATATGTGAAATGGAGGATCTCAGTATCTATTCTGAATTTAACAGGCAGCCAATGTAGGGAAGCTAAGACAGGATAGATATGATCTCTCTTTTTAATTCTCATCAGAACTCTAGCTGCAGCATTTTGGACAAGCTGAAGACTTTTAACTACATTCTGTGGACTTCCTGAGAGTAATGAATTACAGTAATCCAGTCTTGATGTAATAAATGCATGAACTAGTTTTTCAGCATCACTCCTGGAAAGGATGCTTCTAATCTTAGCAATATTCCGAAGGTGGAAAAAGGAAATCCTACAAACCTGTTCAACGTGAGATTTGAATGACATGTCCAGGTCAAAGATAACACCAAGGTTCCTTACTTTGTTCTCGGAGATTAATGTAATGCCATTCAGGTCAGGTGATTGACTGAGCAATTTCCGTTTCTGAATTTCGGGTCCAAAGATGAGAACTTCTAGCCTGGCAAGCCAGACTAAATAAATGTATTATTAGTCTGGCAACGCTCCATTGACGGCTCTCGGTTGTGGGGCGGGTTCTACCGTTGCCTTTCAAATGATCTCCGCATTCCACTGGACAATGAATGTGACATACTCTTGTTTCACTCTGTTGCATCATCCCACCCACCAGGCATATAGAGTGCCCTGATTGGCCCACAAAGCAGATAAAGCTCTGTGATTTGTTCACTAAGCAGATAGAGCACTATGATTGGCCCACCATTATGGACCAATCACAGCTCTTTATGTGTTTGAAACCCCTCTAGAGAGCTGTGATTGGCTAGCCAGAGTCCTGGTAGGAGCTGTTGAGGTTCCAATGGAGCATGCCTAGACCATTCTTTGCAAAGCAAGAATTTGGTCTAGTTCACTAGACTAGAGAACTTCAGTAGCAGGAGACCACACCGGGTGCCACTACTGTCAAGTAAGAACAGGAAACTGAGGCTACAATTCTCACAGGCTCACTAAAATTGGAGTACAGAGGACTGGCAAAAGGTTGGCTGGTCTGATGAGTCTTGATTTCTGCTGAGACATTTGGATGGTAAGGTCAGAATTTGGCATCAACAACATGAAAGCATGGATCCATCCTGCCTTGTATCAACCATTCAGGCTGCTGGTGGTGTAATGGTGTGGGAGGCGTTTTCTTGGCACACTTTGGGCCCCTTAGTACTAACTGATCATCGTTGTAACGCCACAGCCTACCTGAGTATTGTTGCTGACCATGTCCATCCCTCTAAGACCAGTGTACCCATCTTCTGATGGCTACTTGTAGCAGGATAATGCACCATGTCAAAAAGCTCAAATTATCTCAGACTGGCTTCTGAAACATGACAATGAGTTCACTGCACTCAGATGGCCTCCACAGTAACCAGATCTCAATCCAGTAGAGCACCTTTGGGATGGAGTGGATCGGGAGATTTGCATCAAGGATGCACAGCTGACTACTCTAAAGCAACTGCATGATGCTATCATGTTAATATGGACCAAATTATCTGAGGAATGTTTCCAGTACCTTGTTGACTCTATGCCATAAAGGATTAAGGCTTTTCTGAAAGCACCGCCCTGCCCAGACACCAACTCCTGTCTAACAGCCATTGTTTTATTTTGTTTGCATGATTTAACTGACTTTGTATGTGTAGCTGCCCCCGTGACTTCCTTTTGTTGGAAGTCACGGGGGCAGCTACAGTGAAAACTTATTGTAATACGGTGTACCGAAGGCGAGGAGTCATTTTTAACATTCTGTACTGGTTCAGCCAATGGTCTTGCAGTACCGAGCCTCTTTGTGAGAAGTGTATTGATAGCACCCCGCGACACGAGGAGTAAGGTACACATAAACAACAACACACCAGTAAGGTACACATAAACAACAACACACCTAAAAAAAAATCTTCTTTCGGCTCGTGGAGAGTACAGACACTTTTTTCTCCTCTCATCCCTGCTTCTCCCAAGGTTCTTTGTCCTGTCTACCCCTGTGCACTGCGCTTCTCTGCCTTTTTTCTGGAAACAGGAAATTATTAAACATGGATCTGGCCAGTTGTTCTCTCAACGCGATTGACAAAATCTTTTCAACAATGAGAACGGGAGAAGGGGCTCCCGGATACCCCTCTGGAACAGAGCCAGCTGGGTATATCATGGACTCCTGGAAACAGTGGAACTTGATCTGCCGGTCTCAACTGTCTGTAGAGGACTCTGAAGATGTTTGGATATTCGTCGTCTTGGTGTCGGGATTCCTGCTGTTTGGCCTGAGCGGTTACCTCGCATATCGGAAAATTAACGAGCTTTCGAGGAATATTGGCTTAATCCTGGAGCTCAGGGAATTCACAGACTCATATAATTGTCGAGATGAGTCATAAGCTTGGAACTTTGGCTGAGATTCAGGCTCTGGCACAGAAGGTGGATGCGATCAAGGAGAGAGTTGACGGATCAGCACGAATCGGTAGAGATTGATGATGCCATTATTGGACCTGGATGGGTTGGAGACCAACAGAACTCCAAGACAGAGAGGAAATTATCTCTGTCTCTACCCAAAACAATTCTTATTATCTGGATCTGGTGCCCTTGAAGCCTGTGAGGCTGAACCCCCCCCCCCCCCCCCCCCCCCCCCCCCCAGAAGAAATATGGAATGCTGCAGCCGCTATGGAAACCCTTTCTCCCTATCCCAGCCTGGGCGAGACTGTGACCGGTGAAGGCTGTGGAACCATATCTAGAACTTAATGTGCTCTCTAAACCCATTATCTCCCTCCCCCTCTCCAAACGGAGGTGATTAGATCTTTTTCAGTTTGTCTATAGGTCACAACATGAAGGGAAAATTAGATTTGGTCAAATTTAGATAATGAAACATTATAAAGAAAAAAAGTATTTTACTTGTCAGCATGGAATGTGAAAACACTGCCTAAAATAATGAAATATTATGACACGTAAAACTATTGTCTGAGGAAGTTGTGTGGTTTATCAGTCAGCCTCCAGTCCAGCAGGTGGCGCTAGTGATGCTGATCACCAACAACCGGAAAAAAGCAGAAACCGGAAGCTGCTAGCACAGTCAGCTTGTCGTTGTTGTTTCTTTGGCCTCTCTGAGAAACGCGCTCGTTTTGCTGCTTTCATCAGACTGAAGAGGTTCCCTCTATCAGACTCGCTCATCTGAGTTGGTCATGATGCAGGATCGCTGCTCGCTCTCTCATCCATCCTGCTCACACTCTCCGACGGAAAAGCCCCGAATCTGAATGTGACTCTGGAGGAAAAAGAGGTTAGCTCTACTCCGTGAACTCTGGTGAGCAAAGGTCCTCTTTTCCAGACTGGATCTGTCCTAAGCTGATCAGAACCAAAGCGTTGGATCTTTAATCTCCTGCGTTGTTCTGAAGCAGCATCTTAATCAGCTCTCCTGCTTTGTTTCTATTGCAGCTGTTAGCTAAACACGGCTAAAGAGAACCTGCTACCACTTCAGGATCATCCATCAGCATGGACACAGGTACTGGTGTGTGTGTGTGTGTGTGTGTGTGTGTGTGTGTGTGTGTGTGTGTTCTGGACAGGTACGAATGGATGGATGAATCAATCACCGGTATCTTCTTGCCACCCCCCACCACCTCTCCACACACACACGCACACACCTTTTTTCTGTGAGACCCTGACACAAACGCAGAATTTTCAAGTGGCACAGTCCCAGAACAAATGAAAATAGCCAGAGTTATTCCTATTTATAAAAGTGGTGATAAATTATTAGCTTGTAACTATAGACCTATCTCTTTACTGCCACAGTTTTCAAAGATACTTGAGAAACTTTTTGTAATTAGATTTGAAACATTTACCAACAAGTTTGATCTTTTAAACGACCATCAGTATGGGTTTAGGAAGAATCGTTCAACCTCATTAGCAGTTATGGATTTGGTAGAGCAGATTGCAACAGCCGTCTGTTCTCGACCGGAGAGCCACCTCCGGGTCGGGGGAGAGGTCCTACCTCAAGTGGAGGAGTTTAAGTATCTCGGGGTCTTGTTCACGAGTGAGGGTAGGAGGGATCGGGAGATCGACAGGCGGATTGGTTCGGCGTCTGCAGTGATGCGGACGCTGAGCCGATCTGTCGTGGGGAAGAGGGAGCTGAGCCAGAAAGCCAGGCTCTCGATTTACCGGTCGATCTACGTCCCAATCCTCACCTATGGTCATGAGCTTTGGGTAATGACCGAAAGAACGAGATCGCGGATACAAGCGGCCGAAATGAGTTTCCTCCGTAGGGTGGCCGGGCTCAGCCTTAGAGATAGGGTGAGGAGCTCGGACATTCGGGAGGGACTCGGAGTAGAACCGCTGCTCCTCCGGATCGAAAGGAGCCAGTTGAGGTGGTTTGGGCATCTGGTCAGGATGCCTCCTGGACGCCTCCCCGGGGAGGTGTTTCGGGCATGTCCTGCCGGCAGAAGGCCCCCGGGTCGACCCAGGACACGTTGGAGAGGTTACATCTCCAATCTGGTCCGGGAACGCCTTGGGGTCCTGCCGGAGGAGCTGGTGGAGGTGGCGGGGGAGAGGACGGCCTGGAGCTCCCTAGTTGGGATGCTGCCCCCCGCGACCCGGATAAGCGGAGGAAGACGACGACGACGAGATTGCAACAGCAGTGGATCAAAAACTTCATGTAGTGACTGTCTTAATTGACTTGAGTAAGGCATTTGATACAATTGATCACACATACCTGCTCAAGAAATGTGAATACTATGGTCTTCGTGGTAAAACCAATCAATGGCTTGAAAGTTATTTAAGCAGTAGATTTCAATATGTAAATGTTAATGATATAGATTCATAGCTTGAAAGAGTAATATGTGGTGTACCGCAAGGCTCGGTGCTAGGACCGAAATTATTCAACCTATACTTGAACGACATCTTTTCTGTATCGTCTCGGTTAAAATTTATTATGTTTGCAGATGATACAAATTTCATTTGTATGGGAAAAGATATGAGTAAATTATTACAAGAGGTTGAAAACGAATTGGGTTCAGTAGGGCTGTCGCGGTTGAGGAATTCCCCCTGCGGTGATTCAGGGTGGCTTAATATTGCGGTGTGCAATATTATTGCAGCACTTTTTTTATTGCAGTACTATCCAAACATAATGTTTACACATTTAAAAAAGGTTAAAAATACAGTGCCTTCTTTAATAACACTTTACTGAATGCAGATCAAAGGGCAGTAACAACACAGATCGCAGTAACGTTTGTTTCTCCGACAGTCGGAGTCCGACTGAACTTAAAAACAACAAAATTCAGGAGAAGGTTAAACTTTTAAATGCAAATTTGGCTGCAGAATCTAACAAATAAGAAACAAGTCCCCATTTTGTTTAGTTGTTTAAAATCAAGCATAAAAAATTACATGTACCGGGCGCGGGGCACTATCATTTCACTTTCACACACACGAATGACGGTGATTTATAGCTCGGTCACGTCCTTGTTACCCACAAGGAAAACCAGCATGTTAACCATATACGGTTTGAGAGAGGATCTGAGAGGGGTGGCAACATTTCCAGCAACACTGAAAACCCTCTCGGATGGTGCGCTCGTTGCACTAACGCACACGTACTTGCGTGCGACTCTGGCGAGCAAAGGGAATCTCTCCCGGTTGTTGCTCCACCATGTCCGGGGGGTTTCTTTAGGGTGGTTGCATTCCTCCTGCAGGTAGCGAGTGAGCTCCAGCTCGGCTCAAACTCTCTTCGGGACGGTTGCAGAAGCAGTGCTTGTCCGGGACTTCAGCAGGTCTCCGAGCGTTTATTTATTTATTTTTGCCGCTGGTGGCAGCTCTGTCTCGGCCAAGGACTCTGGCTGCGCAGCAGCTGACGTACTGAAAACCAAAGCGCTCCCAAAGGAGCGAAGTAACGTTTGGTTTTGATACCAGTGCAGCCATCCTTCTCAACACGCATCATTGAGTTGAATCACGTTCAGTAATCGCGGTGGCCCATGATGCAGCGCGGTGGGCTTCTTCATATTGCGATATTTCATTTTTGCGGTTACTGCGACAGCCCTAGGGTTCAGTTAAAAAATGGTTTGATTACAAGCTATCACTAAATGAAAATAAAACCAAATTTATGATATTTTCAGGGAACAGGGACAATGACGGTGCTAAGCTGTATTTAAATGGAGTCCCAGTTGAACAAGTATATGAAACTAAATTCCTCTGTGTGATTATTGATAGTAAACTCAGTTGGAAACCACATATTGAATATATCAAACGGCAAGTGTCTAAATCTATTGCTATACTTTATAAAACTAGTGATGTACTAAATAAAAAAGCCTTGTTTTTGATTTATAGCTCTTTAGTTATGCCTTATATGTCTTACTGTGCAGAGATTTGGGGAAATGCAGGTAAAACGTGTGCTGAGACTGTATTTAAATTAGAAAAAAAGGCGATTAGAATAGTTAATAAATTGGGATACCTCGAACCAACCCATAATCTATTTAGTCAAACTAAAACGCTAAAATTAGGAAATATAATTAAAGTAAAAAATCTTAGAGATTCTTCATAAAGTAGTTAATAATAATATCCCAAATTGCATAAAAGTTTATTTCAAACCAAGAGATGATCATTATAATCTCAGAGGTGTATTTATGTTTGAATGTGTAAAAGCCAGAACTAATGTGAAATCAAGATGTGTTTCTGTTGTTGGTGTGAAATTGTGGAATGAGTTAGATGATGATTTAAAGAAATGTACTTCTTTACTAAAGTTTAAAGCAGGTGTAAAGTGTCACATATTTACAGGGTATGAAAAGTATGTATAGACATTAATGAATTTTCATTGTGGTTATTTATATTGGGGAAAATAAAAGAAATGTATATTGGTTATGTATCTTAGGTGGAAAATAGGGTAGGCTAAAATAAGCTTTGCTTCTGCCTATTCCTTCTTTGGTTTAAATTCAAGTTGTTAATGTTGTTGTTTTGTTTGAAAAGAAAAATTTTATGTTAATGCTATAAACCAAAATAAAGACCGAAAGAAAGAAAGAAAGAAAGAATTTAAGGACAGCAGCATCTGATTTTAATATTTGAACAACAAAAACAACATTTCAAGCAGCTCTGTTGTTATGGAACTCAAAAGTATTCAAAATTCAATAAATAAATAAGACATTATGAAATAAATATCTACATGAAGAAATACTAGACAATCATGTAATCTGACAATGAAATAACAGAATGTTATGTAAAATCTAAGCTCAGTATTATGAAATATTTTTCATTCTTCTTTTAAAATGTCTTTTTTTTTTCAAAAGTCATTTTTTCATAATAATCCAAAATAATGTTGAGCCATTTTTATTTAATTCATTCAGTTTGTATTAGGGATGCACCGATGGATCGGCATTTGATCGTAATCGGCCGATAGCGCCCCTATCGGTTTTGATTGGAGTTTTCAAAATGGATCAAAGCAGACCGATCAGGTAGGGTTGTCACGGTAACCGGTGTAGCGGTAAACCCCGGTAAAAAAAAGTCGACAATAATAATAACCGTCTTGTTTTTAAAAAACTATATTATCTTGGTGGATTACCGAGGCTGCGGTGTAGGCGCGGTGACCCTTAGCAGCCACCGTATCATCTGCTGAAGTTGCCGGCGGCACATGCGCGCTTTGATGTTTACAACCAAAACTTTCTTGAAGCTAAAGCTGAAATAATGGCCAAAGGAGGAGACGGCAGCGCTCAGGACATTTTTTTATCCCTCAAAGAAGACAAAGTGGGAAGTACGGGCATCTTTTGGATATTTGAAGAATGCCGAGGGACAGCTGATAGAAGACGGCTATCCTGTTTGCAGCACGTGCAGAAAAAGTGTCTGTGAAAGGCAGCAACGCTTCAAATCTCATGACACATCTGCGTGACCATCACCCACAACTCTACAGTCAACGCAAGGCAAGCTAACGTTAGCGTTTTAGCTAAAATGCGTGATCCGAGGATTTGGGTTGAGGGAGAATGCAACGAGTCGCTATATAAAGCAGCCGCAGCGCCGCTACCTGCATATAAACCGTGTCGCGGACACCCCCATGTTGAAATGACGCTATGCATTACGGGGCTCCCAGGGGCAGATAAGAGTTGGTCTCTCTCCGAGAATAATTATGAATTTAACAACGATTACTGCCTGATGACATTTTCCCACATCTGCAAAGCTCACTGGAAGAACACAAACCGAGGAAAATATTTTCCTGATATAGGGTTTATTACTCAAGTAAGGGTAAAAAAGTATCTGATTAGAAGGCTACTTGAGTACTGAGTATCATCTGATCTAATATTTTTAAAATGATTACATCAAACAGACATAAAATAAGAAGTTATGTGCAAATATTGGTATTTTAAAGATTAAAGGGAAAACTGTAAACAAATAAACAACATAATTACAAAATAACACATTTTAGACAAAATTTAGACACAAACTGAGGACAATATTTCCTGACATACAGGGTTTATTTAATTGTGTGAAAATGTAACACGTTTTAAAAAAATACCGCAATAATACCGAAAACCGTGG